CAATTCCATAAATTGCTTTTAATAGGCATATGATCATGTTTTGATAGATGGGGCTATATGTCTTCTATTTAACTTTTGGAAGATTAATTGTTTAAATTTCATTTTCAGAACAAAGTCCGCCGATTGAAGAAGTTATACAATCTGGTGTTGTTCCCCACTTTGTATGATTGAGGTTTGGGCATGGAAGGCGATGGCTAGCAGTGAAGTGGCTGGTGAGATGGTGGTGGGTGAGATGTGTATGGAGAAATTGTGAGATGTGTAGGTGAGATGGCAGTGGGTGAGATGGTAATTTTGTTAAAGGATAAAATTGTGATTTTGAAAAAATTCATTAAGGCCTTGTTTGGGATGCTACTTTTTTAGCCAATTAGCCAAAAAGTTATTAAATTAGCCAATTAGCCAATTAGTCATACCAAAAAGTCAACAATTACTGCTTCTCTCTACTTTTTGCACAGTTTTTCGTAATTAGTCAAAAAGTCATCCTAAACATACAAGTTTTTTTTACCTATCTTTTTAGCCAATTAGTCAAAAGTTACTAAATTAGCCTGTTCCCAAACGAGGCCTAAGTGTGTGGAGTAAGGAAACTTGGTGTGTGGAAACAAAATTTCTTAAGTCTCCTTTCAATTGATTTTCTTTTTCTTTTTAAATAGAGATATATGTAAAATATCTAATTTAGCCCTTTTACCAACCTTGTAGCTCATGTGCCATGCACATGATCCCATTTTCTATTAAATAATTAACGTCATCTACCATTAGGGAGTAAGTAGAATGAGTTTGTGAAAGTTTAGGGACTAAGAAAACCAATTCAATAGTTTAGGGACTACATAAACAAAATGGTGATAGTTTAGGGGATAAAAGTGTAATTAACCCTTTATGTTTTGACATCATATTACAAATGATTAATCACTTTATATACTGAGATGTATCTATTGTTTGTATCTTTTCATTATTTTTTTCTTTTTAAGTTTAGATGTTGTTATGTGATTCTTTCTTGATTAATTGTTGTTAAATTTCTTTTATATAGTTGATATTTTAATTTAATTAAGAGTGTTTATTTTACAATCTTATAGTTTAATATATATATATATATATATATATATATCATATAAAATCATTATATAATAATCCAACTACAACATACTTATATTTAATTTTTTTAATAAATTTTATATAATTTTTATTTCTAGATATTTTTATTTTCTAAATGAATATAAAAGAAAATTAAATAGTTGGAATTATTTTTAATTTTATGTTATTAATTCTTCTTCTAATTTAACTATTGTTTTTAATATCAAAATGAGTATTTATTTTATTATTTAATATATCATAGAAAATTATTATATGATAATTACACTTTTATAATACGATAAAACTAAAATTATTAAAATACATAAATAATTTAACTAAATTAACATATATAAGTATTCAAATAACAATTTTATAGAACTATAGCACCAATATTATCAAAATAAATAATTAAAATCATACTTTAATTTTAATTTTAAATTAAAATTAAAAATAAAAATATTTTTTTATAATGCATATTGTACTATTAAATTTTTTTATTTTTTTTGAAAAAAAAATAATATGTACATTACACGGGTTAACTGTTAGTTTATAATAATAATAGAGATAAATCATTTCAACAAATCAAGTGTCTATCTTTCATAAGTTAGCAAATTTAAACTTATATTATGGTTTGGATAATGGGTTTGTTTAGTGTAATTTTTCTCATACTAAAAATAAATTATCTGAAATCAAGAGCTAAAAGTACTATTTCTCCAACTTCTATATAATTAGTTTTTTTTTTTTTTCAACTTTTTGAGTTATTTCGATATTTGAAACTATAAGCGAAAGTTATACTAATACTCTCATAAATTTTCAAATTAAAAAAGAAAAAAAAAAGTTATTAGTTGATTCAGCAAGCTACATTGAATAGGATCGATATCATAGCAATTTTTAATTTATATTATGTCCTATAAATAAAAGAGTAAAACATCTAAATATTAGGACAATTTAGACTGTGCACCCCTAAAAAAATTCACGTATAAAAAAATTACTATTTTTATGATAAAAATTATAAATATTTATAGTCTATTATGTCACGTTGTAATAAAGTTACAAATAATGATTTTAAAATGTGCACTTATGAATAGCAAAATTATCTTACTTTATGTTTTTTTGTTATGACATTTTATGGTAAGAAAAATTACTAACAAAAAAAATATGTATGATTACTTCACTTATTTCAAAATCTCACAAATAAATTTACAATTATAAAATTTGTACACTTTATAATAGATATTATATAATGGGCACTCACTTGGGAGCTTTGCTCGCCCAACTTTCAAAATAAATATAATTTTTTAATTTTTTTTAAAATAAATATTTTGAATTTATAATATTGTTGAATTGTAATAGAATAGGAAGTGTGTAGGGTGTATGTGATGTCATTCAGTAGTTTGAGAGTAAAATTATAAATTAAACGATAGATTGACAAATAACCATATTGCAGTTTGGGATGGTTTCAATTTGTTAGTTGATTGAAAAATATTCTTAGCCAATTATTAACTATGTGCATAATATATAACATTAATTTGTATAAAAATATTCATATTTATAATTATTAATTTATAACAAATTTCACATTTTAAATCTCTCTGACACTCCTTTTTATTTTTGATAATATATAAGTAGTAATTGTAACAGAGCAAAATAGTTTCCAAGGCTGGCTTTAGAGCTAGGCCACTCAAGCGGCTGCCTCAGGCCTCATTCCTGTGAAGGCCTCCTAATTTTATTTGTTTTTGGTATGTTTAGGGACTTCTATAATTAAGGTGGTCATGAAGCGCTTGTTTTTATACTAAAGTCCATATGAAATGCACAATTTTTTACTAGTGATTTGATTTGCTTTGGTCAAGTTTAGTAGAAAACTTAATCCTCCAATTTTATAGTTGAGGATTCAAAATCAATCATATATTATGATTTAATTTTTTCAATTTTTAATTTAGTATAAATGAGAGGTTTACAATAGACTTTAAAAGTTTTGTAAAATCTATAAAACCTCACATCCAAATAAATGAAAGCAAATTATGGAGATGCTCTATAAATGTATTAATATTAATAATACATGTAAGAATTGCTTTTGTGGAAAGAAAATTTTCAAAATTAAAATTGATAAATTCATACTAAAGATTAACTATATTTAAAGAAAAAATTAAGTGAATTAACTATTTTATCAAAAACACAAATTAGAAAAACTTGATTAAAAAGTTTAGTTAGTAACTTTGCATCATAAAATGCAAGAAAAAATAATTTCAAATGAAAATAAAATATTAAAAATTATTATTATAATTTAAATAGCAAAGGACCATATTTTAAAATTTTGCCTTAGGCTCCCCAAAGGGTTGAGCTGTCCTTGGTAGTTTTGAAAGCAAATTATAAATTTCAAAATTTAACCTGCGATTAATAGATAAAATTATGCAAATTGATGTGATTTTAACAGATTAAGCAGTAATTTACACATTTCTAATAGTGTGTGACAGCAGAGTTTAGCTGATATCTCTTCAATGAAAGAGAGAAGATTGGTATGTTTGGAATTATGAAGGTGTAAAAAGATAAATAAAAATTTTATTTTTATTTTTTATCTTTTTTTAATGAAAATGAACATAAGAAATTAAAAATTGTGGTGTAGATAGACACTTTCAAGTACTTTCTGTTTTTTTTCCCGATACAACGGAGGAGAATTAATTAATATTTACAACCCTTGATTTGCCGAATAAGAGTGTATGTATGAGAGTGATTAATTAGACTATGAGGTCATGTTTGATTCATAAGATTAATAGTGAAGTATTAATAATTCTATTAAATTAGTGTGGTATTCACTATCCAATTGGATTAATATCCATCGGATTAATAATCACACCTCTATCCCATTACTAATAATCTTACAAATTTGTTGGATTAATTATCCATTGGATTAATAATCCTAAACCAAAATGTTAAAACAAACATAGGATAATTGGACCACGGATTAATAATCTCAATCCTATGCTCTAATCCACCCAATCAAACATGACGTGAAAAATGCTAGGAATACAAAAAAATTATCAAAATGTGATTGATTTAGCAAATTTTTTGATAAATTTAGTTACCAATTACTATTATAGTAGTCTTGTATCGTACAACTTAATACTCCAAAAAAATTTATAACTTACACATTTCTTGTATATTTAAAATAATTGATAAAAAAAAAAATCTCATGTATCCAAAAAAAAAACTTGGGTCATATTTGGATCCAACTTGGAAAAAAGCAGAGATCTGAATAATATGGAAAAGAATAATGCTTGGGACCCCCTTTTGGGGGTCACCCCCTCACCTCCTTTGCCACGTGGCGGGTGGTGATTGGAGGAGTAGGAAAAAAAAGAAAAAAAAAAAAAAAATGTAACCAATGAGAGAGAGAGAGGGGGGTCAAAAGGGGTGGTGGGAAAAGGGAGGATGAATCATTATTGTATAGAAAATTTGATTAGAAAAATGATGTGGCTAAGATCTAATTTTTGTATAGTAGCAACCACACATAAAATGAATCTCAACCCTAATAAATTTTTATTTTCTTTTTGAGTACCTAGTATTGTTGAAAAATAGATCCCTGAAAAAATTAGTCATTTGGACCCATTATTTATTCGATTCAATAAGAAATTAATGTAAAAATTGGATATTGTGACTACTGTTTCTTAATCCCCAGAACTTAAGCTTGCAAGCTGCAACAAATTTTTTTTTTTTGTGCGAATAATTAAAGATAATGGCCCCTTTCTGGTGCCACTCATGCACCAAATTAGGTAGTACCAATACGATATTGAAAATTACTGTCACCACTCAAAACCAACCAAGCTAGGCACCTGATAATGCCACACCCCTATAAGATTTCACCCTGTGAGCATGCAGGGCTGATAAGAAAATCATTTCAATCTCATTCCACAATAATCATGGCAAATTGGCAACGAAGAGATAAAACCTCAATTGGTAATAATTTAATCCACAATACCATAAGTCTCGTCTCCAGCAATGCTAGGAATCATGAAAAGTCTTTCATGAAAATGATCACGAAAGATTTGTGATCTTTGAATTACATATAAAATAAAACACCACACACTAATTAAGGTAATCTAAAGGTCACAAATCTTTCATGAAAAAAATTTCATAATTTCTAACATTTCTCGTCTCCCAACAACCCACAAGGAAGAAGGTAATATTTAAAGCATAAGACAAAAACCCATAAAGCATATAAATAATAACTAATGTCTCTACAAAATAACTCTTAGCACTCTATTCACCAATACAACTTGTGCAACACTATTCCTTTGGACCTGTAATAAAGAAGAAGACAATAAGTTTGATAGCTCAAAAAGTAACAACTACCATAACTAGCCAGATTTATGCAAAAATAAATAAATAAATAAAATTCAATAAGTAAAATTAACCTACAAGGACTTTTCATAAATCTTTTGTGATTCAATAGTGTAAAGACAAATTCATGCACTTCAGTTATCATTAAAGATAAAATAATTCCAATAAGGCGAGTTCAATGATCATACAATTTAGAAACTAATAGGGATTACTATTCGAAATCTCAACAAATTTGATATTCAATACAAACAATCCAAACCTCAACAGTTTGATAAACACAAACTCAAGTTTTTGCAGCTGCAGCCACAGTAACATAAGCCAAAACCAAAAAAAGTAACAAAAGTGTCTCAATAGTTAGCCTCCAGTTGCTTAGGGTCCAAATCATAGTCAATTGGATTCATCCTCTTGATAAAAAATACATGAATTCACATTGAGCTTATAAAACATTTCAATCACACTAAAATAATGATCACAAATAGTTTTGATAATCTCAAAGTTAACGGAAATTCTCTTACTTGATCCTCATTTAGCATAGATACAAGAAAATATTAAAAATTCAGACAAGAGGGGATTTCATAAATCAATGTTTTAAGGCATTCTTCAAATGAAATATGCAGTTTATTGCAGTGACAAAATCCAAACTCATAAGCCAAAGAGTTCACAAAATTCTCCACACAACTATAGACAAGGAATCCAACAAAATTATAAAAACAACAGTTCTATGAGCCTGAATTCCTATGATTATTAAAATAAAAAAGTTGTCGATCATGCTGGTAGGTTTGTTCATTTCTCATCATCAAGTTTAGGAGTTATTTTTATCTTTTTCATAATTCAGAACTCCGTATGTGGTTGTGATGAAACTAGATCAATATGATTTCTAAAAGAGATAAAGAAAAAAATTAAAGCATCAAGCTTACTTTTGTAATCTCAATCAGTTGTGGTGCCACACAAGTTTCGGAGTCACAAAGCACAAATAATTGAAGCAGATGTGTAGTGGCTTCTTCTACATCTAGGGCTAATTGAAAATTTTATCAGTATTTTTACTTGAATACAGTTTGCCTTATTCTAGAGATTCCCACCATTTTTCCCTTCCACAAATGTCCTCAAGAGCAGGTGGTGCCAATGATTGCCATAGCTCTTTGCATTCTGACATTATCCCCATCACCTCATCCAGAGTAGTTGTGTCCTGTGTCATTGCTGCTGAAACTTCTTCATAGATTCTCCCTAACTTACAACTGGCTGGATCAGGTATCCAATTGTGGTTAGCTGACTGCTTTAGAATGGCACCCAATCTGAAGAACATAAAAGGACCATCTTAGAACAAGCCCAGATCATTTGCGGTACCACATTCTAAACTCATCAAAGTACAAGTAACACATGCATAGGGACCCCTGTTCTAGAAGAAATGTTCTCCTAGTTAACTACATGCACTAGAGGCTGGGAAGTCTCATTGAGCATCCCTCAGACTAGGGTTTGAGTGCATACCATCCATATTTCGGATTTTACAGTTGTTAACTTGTGTTTCGGGAAATGATTGCTAGGTATATACACCTACACAACACCCTTTTAATATACCTTGAAAGGTACTTCGCCAGCGAGGTGGTATCAATCCAGGAAGTTTTGGTTTACGCAATGTACGTACATATTTGGTTTGTGTACCCAACTTTTTTTCTTATAAATAGAAGTACTCCCATTTCTTATTCAAAACTAGCTATAACTAGTTTTGGGAAAATATTGCAACCAACTCCAAACGCTGGCTTTCAATTTGTCTATATTCATATCTAAGTTGCTTTAAAACTTTGGTGCTGAATCAAGTTTGATGAGGCAAGCAAATACATGGTTATTCAAACGACAGCAAACAAATAAATACCAAAAAAATAAACAATCATGCTTGGATTGAGTGATTTGGAGAGAAAAAAAAAAGAATTAGAGAAATATGTATTTCTCTTACTTATTTGATAACAAGTAGAAAGAAATTGGAAGAAATAGAGAGAAACGTTTCTCTTATAACTCTCATTTTCAATTTTTCCAAAAGTTGAGAGAATGGGACAGAAAAGAAATCAACAAATTTTTATATTTTCGTATTATCAATTTTGTCCCTGTAAAAATAAAAGAAATAAAATGATTGAAATATAAAAGACTACTTGGTAATATAACATAAAATAATTTCTTTTCTTTTCTCAACCAAACAAGAAACCAAACAAGAATGAGATATATCACAATCATTTTTTTTATTTTATTTCCTCCTTATCCAAACAAGAAAGAAATAAATTACAATCATTTATTTTCTTTTCTTTTATCTTTCAACTTAAATAATTATTTCTTTTCTTTGCTCTTCTACATTTCCAAACATAGTGTTAGCAAACAAAAAAACAATTGGTCACAACTGAAAGTAGATTTTTGGGTAAATATTGGGGAAAATAATTTTGAGTCGTGTAGATGAAAAGGACTTTGAAATTTTGGGACGGGATATGACAGATAGGGTTTTAGGGATTTCAAGCCATACCTCTTCAATGAGAGCTCCTGAGATCTTCAAGAACCCCCCTTCGAGAGCAAGAAACGAGAGCAAAAGAGAAATGGACAAGAGAAATCAATTGATTGAGTCGAAGCAAAGAAGAAGAGAAGATTTTAGGGTTTTTAGAGCCATACCTCTTCAATCCCATTGCTGACGAACCAGAGAAGAGGCTGGAGAGGGAATTTGGGTGTAAATGTAATAAAGTTTTAAAAATATTCGATTAATTCACTCAAATCCAATGACTGAATATAGGGATGTTCGCGGATCGATTTTGTACGGTTTTTAATTCGGTTTTGACACGCCTGCATTTATTCAGGTTGAGAAAAAGTGAACCTGCACCGCCGACAGTGCGGTTTGCGATTTTTACTATAAAAAAATTATAAAAATGCACCGTGTTTGGTTTAATTTTTTGGAAATTATATTTTTTATTTTTTGTGTTTTTGGTTTTAAATAAATATTTTTTAATTTTTAAAATTTTAAATATATTTTTTATTTTTTTAAATATACCTTATTTAGATGTATTTAAAAAATAAAATATTTGTAAAAAATTAATAAATACACAAAAATACGAAAATATATTAAATTCTCGTATTTTTTTGAATTTTTGATATTTAGTAAATTTTTTAAGGATTTTTTTTCACAAATATTATAATTTTTAAGTGTCTTTATGTTAGATGTATCTAAAAATTAAAAAAATTATTTAAAATATTAAAAAATAAAACAAAACAAAAAAATACGAAAAAATAAAAAAATTAAATTTTTTGAAAAGTGAATCTTGAATTCGAAAACCAAACAAGCTGATTTTTTTGGAATAAATTTTTTGAATATAGAAAAACTATTTTTTAAATTTTAAATTTTTATAAGTTAGAACATCTCCGATCATTTAGTAATTATTTGATTGAATTCAAGTTTGATAAATGAAGAGCTAAAAATGAGTTCCTATCATTTCATTAAACTTATAAAAATCAAATTAAAGAAGTGACAAATTTTACACCAAATCAATGATGAAACAAATCTTTCACCAAATTTCAAACAATGATATATTTATTTAAATTTCATAAAATTTCAAAAAGAATAATGATCAAGGATGATTTTCTTTCATATAAAATGGTTAAAACAAGTTTTAGGGTAAGTAGAATTTTTAAAAAATATTTTATTCCAAAAAAAAAAAAAGGGTATAGATCACAATGTTCTACACGAGATCAAGTTTTGAATTAAATTTTCACTCAAATTTAATGAAAAAAAAAATATTTTTCACTCAAATGAGTACAAATAGGGTAGCTATTGGAGAAGAAAGGCTGAAAAGAGGTTTTGGTGAGGGGATCATCCCATTCGAGAGATTCCCACCATTTTTCCTCTCTATGAAAAGCAGGTAGTGCAGAAGCTTGCTCACCATCCTCATTTATGTACAAAGAAATAGGCAATCTCCTTAACATGGGACACCACTATATATGAATTTCTTGCAGAGATTCACAGACCATTATGCCCTTCTAAGAAGGATGATGATCAAAAGATGGATTCAAGCCCATCACAGTCTTCAATTATAAATCTTGTTAAATCTCTCACATCTCTTAACGATTGGATATCTGATAAGCTAATGTGATAGTCCCATCTTCTAATGTTCAAGTACTCTATGTTACTGGGGAGCGTTACATGACCTACACCAATACTCCTAAAATATTTGGAGTTGTAGATACAAACTTCTGATGCTTCAGGATAGTATTTCTCTTGTTCATCATCTTGGTCTTTTTTATCAACAATTCCCACCACAAGACTGTAGTTTTCCAAACTTTGGCATTGCAGAGATTTCACATAATTGGTAAGCTCTTGCACATTGTAAAACTGGGCTTCGTGAACTTTTAATTGTGTCAAGCCCAACAGCTCTTTTGATGACACTTCAACTTTTTTTCTCTTAATTCCAAGGCATTAGAGTTGTGAGAGTCTGCGTAACTTCCAGCAAGGAAACGTACATAGGCTGTAATTCCGGGAGAGGTTGAGATTTCTAAGACTGGTCAATTCTTCTATACCTTGAGGTACTTCTTCAATTTGACTTTCAATCAGTTTTAACTCTTTCAATGCCTTCAGTTTCTCTGGTGAAGGAACATAACTTAGTTGCCGACAATTCTCTAGTAACAGTGCATACAAGTTCTCCAACTTGGAGATGGACTCTAGCAGAGATTGTATGGCTGAATGACAAATCAAGTACCTTGAGACACTGCACATGGGTGAAGAAAGAATTTGGAATCCGTAATACTTCTGAATCATTCATTATCAGTAGTAAGGTGGTGAGCTGAGTGCAAATTGGTGGTCCAGAAGGAAGTTCATCTATGTTGTTGTGTACTAAGGAAACCCTATCAAGAACTTCAGACCAGTCTTCATGCGGTACTCCTTCTAATCCTTCACCAGCTCGAACCATGAATCGAGGACCAGCTGATGTTATTTTCAGAGCCATATTCCAGATCAAATCAAGCATCCTCGCATATTTTCCCTGATTTTCGTCGATAAGACTCACTAACCAGCTGTTTGTCATAAGTTTATCCAAATCATGCGTACTCTTGAATACTTCCTTGCATATGTTGGCAAGACTCTCCAACAAGCAAGTATTTATGAGTTTATTAGTGTGACCTTCATCGAACATTGTTTCCATACTGTCCATCTTGGTTATTAGTCCTTCAGCAATCCAATATTCTATGAGATGTTTCTTAGGGATGATATGTGTTGGAAAAAATTGGTTTTATATGGCTTATTTTGGGCCAACTTTGTGTCCAAAATTTAGTGGGCCTCAAACGTCTTTTGAAGTGGGTCCGAAGATGTGACGTGTTTCTTGTCGCATAGCAAGTCACACGGTGAAGACAGTTCATCAAAACCATTTATGAGTGAATGAGAAGTTGACGTCATTTTCGGGTTCGTGAAATGGATAATTAAAGAAGTAAATATCGGTTTCTTTGAAATAGGTTGTCCCACATTGAAACTTTAAGAAAGCTTTTGTATGTATATAAACTTTTGGTGACAACACTTGGGTTGGGCCTCAAGTGGCACCCCAAGTTTGTAGAAGGGAAGAGTTATGGACAAAATGAACCTTAACCCAAACCGCCACACGCACGCACACGCGCCGCCGCCGTCCGACCAGGCCTGGTCGTGGATGCGGGTTGTGGGTCGGATCGATTCTTATATTAATTTTTTGGACAAAATTCATTTGAATTTTTTCCAAAAAATTTTTGCCAGAAATTTAATTCAAATTTGAATTCTAGATTTCTGTCTATTTCTAGTCCGAAATTCAAATAGATTAAACGGTCCAAAACTGTTTGCACCCGGACAGTTTTAAAACTGCTGAAACTGTCTAGTAGTTACCAACAGATCTATTTGAATTTCAAACAGTATCTGTCCAGTTTGAATTTACACTTGTTCACTTTCTTTTTGTACATGTTCGGGTCTGATCTTTTGCCTATTAATAGAGACCATTTCTGCAGTCTTTTGCATCCGGAAAACAGAAAAAAAAAATACATTGTCTTGCTGTCCAGATTTTATCTGTTTGCATAAATTCTTCATATTAGTCTTTAGGAAATTTAAAGAGAGTATAGAACACAAGGTTTGCTTGCCGTACAAGTTGTTTAGAGTGCTACTACAATTTGTGAAGATCATTGTATCTTGGGAGATAGACGCCATTTATCCATAAGTACCGCAGCAAGGTGAATCTGTCTTAAGGACAGAATGTCACACACTCAACTTGGTCTTCAAATATTCATTTGGTTCGGTAAAAATAAATTCGGTATGTAATTTATTTTATTTGTTTGATTTGTTTCAATTTATTTATTTTTCACATAAGATTGTTCCAACAATCTTAAGACAGATTCGAATTATTCTGTTTATAAAATTTTTCGTTTATTTCCTTTCTTCTTTCTTCTTCTTACAGAAATTATTTTCTGTGATTTTACAAAATAATATTCTGGTTGAAAAACAAATAGTAGTAATATACTATTTGACAGATAGTAGTAATATATTGTCTATTTTCTTTGACAACTAGTAGTAATATACTGGTGTCGTTAATAATTTAGAATATTTATTTTGAAGTTTGTCAGAAATTAATTTTGATTTTCTTAAATAATTTCTGAGTATTCATTAATTAAAAATAAATTCATTTTTTTTAATTATTGAAGTGTTACAGAAATTAAATTTTCTATGTGGAATTAATTTGGTTAAATAAAATTTTATTTTATTTCCAAATTAATTGGAAAAGTAAAATTTACATTCTTGTTTCTTTTATTTTTATAGAATTTAATTCTGTGAATTTGAATTAATTTTCTGTATAGTATAAATTCTAATTATAATTTTGTTTTATAATTTAGAATTCATGGCTACTGAAACAAATGTTCAAACGAGTACGAGAATGGTGATTGTAATTGCGCTAACCCTCTCTCATGTTGTGACGGTACCGGTAAATCATGGTGAGAAGCCAAAGAAGTTCTCTGGAATTGATTTTAAAAGATGGCAGCAGAAAATGTTGTTCTATCCTACAACTCTAAACCTGGCTCATTTTCTCTATGAGAATGCTCCAACTCTGAACGAGGATGAAACTGACCAGCAAATGGTTGTTGCGGTCGATGCCTAGAAACATGCCGATTTCCTTTACCGGAACTACATCTTGAACGGACTTGACAACACATTATACAACGTCCACTGTCCTATCAAGACAGCAAAGGAACTTTAGGAGTCTTTGGAGAAAAAGTACAAAACAGAAGATGTTGGCTCAAAGAAATTTGTGATTGGCAAATTCCTGGACTTTGTGATGGTTAATTCTAAGACTGTGATCAGCCAAGTTCAAGATCTCCAACTCATTCTACATGACATATACGCAGAAGGCATGTCTCTCAGTGAATCCTTCTAAGTTGCAGCCTTAATTGAGAAATTACCACAAGGCTGGAAAGAATTCAAAAGCTACCTCAAACACAAGCGCAAAGAAATGTCTTTGGAAGAATTGATTGTGCGTTTGAGGATTGAGGAGGACAACCGCAATTTTGAAAAGCAGGTTGGTAAGCATCCTATGGAGTCTAAGGAAAATGTGGTGGAACATGCTCCAAAAGCAAAGAAACAAAAGTTTTCTAAAGAAAGTTCATCACAAGGCTCTAAGGGAGGGGAAATTAAAAAGTACAAGTTTAATGGCAAGTGTTATATCTGTGACAAAGAGGGACATCGGGCTAAAGATTGCCGTAGCAAAGGCAAAAGCAAAAGAAGAACAAGCAAGAAGCCTGCTCA